ATTGCATAACTGATTTACCTGGAGTAAATATTTTAATACAAAATTTTAGTGTCAGGACTTTTATTGAAATAAATATTTAAATATTTGTGATGGAATGTGATATGTGTGTCTGCGTGTTTGAGTAAGCTTAAACTTTTGTCAAACTGAATGTTTATTTTTATGTTCTTTTTTATCCACCAGACTCTTTTCTATTATGGTAGGGCAAATTTATTATTTTTATATATTAAGCTCAAACATTTATAATATTGATAGCCTTTTAATTAGTTCAATCCTTTTCTACCAAGGTTAGTTTTCAATTACCTAATTTATTAAAACAAAATCTTTATAATCATAGTAGCTCTAAAATTTAACTCTTTTCTGTCATGGTTACCTTTTTTTAAATAAAATTGAGAAAATTAGTTTTCAACTTTTATACCATGAAGATTTTAATTGGTTTGAGGATTTTTATTACCATGGTATTTAAGTAAATTTCTTGTTAGTAAGGTTAGGGTGTTAAAAAAATTGTGCGCTATAATATAAATCAAGACTTCGTTCATGTAACTAGACTACCCAAGCTTATTAATTATGAAGTACAACCCTACCAAAAATCATTACCCTCACTCTTGGACCACGGCTTTCCTCATTTTTAAATCCCTAGGGTGTCATAAACCTTAAGTTAAACTCTTCGATAAATAAGTAAAGATAGTTAGGTTTAAATCTCTCGATAAGTAATGGAACAAAGCTAGCCTTCATGCATCGAAAGGTAGCCAAACAATACCATATGGATTTTTTTTTTGAGAGAATGACAAATAAGGAACTTGTTAGAATATTAATATTAATTAAGATTTTTCAATAATGAGGTTTCCAAATTTTAATATTCTTCTATCATGTTTTAATATTGAAGTTTCTAATTTGGTATTAATGATTTTATAAGGTTCTTATTTTTCATTCTTCCTTTTTTTCCCACTCCTTTCCTCAAATAAACTCCCACTAAATGATCATATTATATCTCATGCTCACGTATCCGCAAGCACGCACGCTTGCTTGTAACACACTATAACAAGTTTATTAATCTCAATCATGTGATAATTTAAACATGTGAGCATCTCATTCATTATTACACATATCATATAATAAAACTAGACAGTTTCTTGTGTGCTGTATGGGTTAGAATTAAAAAATTTGAAACAAATATCATTCATGTAATTGATATTGACACATCTAAGATGACTAAATTTTTAAAATTTTCTCTATTCAATCATTTTCCTTAGATATTTCATTTGTACATATTTTATCTTTAGCTAAATTTAAAATTTATTGCTAATATTTAAATTATTAAACCTTTTAGAAATATTATACATATTAAAAGGTCAGAAGGAAGAAAATGGATTTGTGCCTAGAATACATAAGAAAACACACTCTTATTTCTTCCTCATCAAGAAGGAGAGATATATTTTTTCTTGTATGTATGTATGTATGTATGGTGAAAGAATTGAATATGTATTGTTTGCTAAATCGTTTCTGCCTCGCTTCTTTCATGTGAAAAGACAAAGAATCACCGCATTATCTTGTCAATGCAAAATGTATGGTGAAGCATGCATGGTTTGAAAGGCCAATACCACAAAATAAGGATTAATGATCCAAATCAAACTTAAACTTTTTTTATTTTCTTTTTTCTTTTTACAGATAATATTTATGGATGATAGTTAATGAGAGTTGATTAGTATTGAGTATAACAAATCAGGAAAATACATGAAAAATAAGAAAAGAAATTAAATCTTATTGATTAGGAAAATTGAAAAGGCACGGAAAAGTATAGTCACAGTAAAAAGATAGTCAGATGGAGTTAATGCTAACAATCAAGGGAATTTGAAAATGAGATTGCTCTTGAATCAATATTCCTGTGAAAGTACACTGAAAAGTGAAAATACATGAAAAATAAAAAAAATCTCATTGATTAGAAAAATTGCATGAGAAAATATAGCAAATGGAGAAAGATAGTCGGATAGAGTTAATGCTAATGATCATAGAAATTTGAAAATAGGACTATTCTTGAATCAATGCTCCTATGAAAGTAGATTAAAAATATATAAAAAATAGGAAAATAAATTAAATCTCACTGATGAATTAAGAAAATTTTTTATATTAACATTAGCCTAAAATCTATTAACTAATGCAATGAGAGTCAATTTTTCTTGACTAATCAGATTAAAGCTACGAGATTCCTCTCCCTGACATTGGTCGAAAAAATGCGTGAAACTCCTCCACCTCGACCGCCCAGCTCTCCACTATCGACAACAAACTTATTTAAGAGAATGACTGATCAATGATCGATTAAGGCATATGAAATTGAGAGATGCAAAGATATTTTTGTATTGGGAACAAAAACTCTCTAGCAAGACTTGAGAGTATGGGAAACAATATAGTTAACGCTCTTGTGATAGATGACTTAGGAAAATTTGAAATAGAATTTAATACTCCTATCCCGTAAAAAGAAAAAAATCAATTAAAATAAATAAAAATAAATTAAATTCTATCAACCAATTAGAAAAATATTTAATCACATCAACTAATGAAATAGTAATATTCATATTAATATTAGACTAAAATTAAATTGATCATACAAAAATTACTGGACCAATTAGAGAGGATAATTAATATATTATACCAAAGTATGTCAACTAATGGGAGAGAGGAGATTTGTAATCAATCACCTTCATCTTACAAGATTTAGATATTTAAAATATTTATTTATTAATCCATGAAAAGATAAAAATCAACTAAAAAATTAAAAATAAATTAAATTATGCTAACCAATGAGAAAAAACATTCAACCACATCAACCAATGAAATAGTAATATTAATATTAGACTAAATTAAATTGATTATACAAAAATTAATGGATCAATAGAGAATAATTGACATTATATCAAAGTATGTTGATCAATAAGAGAGAAGTGATTTGTGACCAACAACCTTCATTCTACAAGATTTGTAGATATATTGATGGAAAGAGGCGTGAAACTCCACCATCCCGACCGCCCAACTCTCCACCATCGACAATAAATCCATTTAAGAGAATGGTTGATCAATCATCGATTAGGGCATATGAAATTGAGAGACACAAAAATATTTTTATACTGGGAACAAAAACTCTCTAACGAAACTCAAGAGTATGGGAAATAACATAGTTAATTCTCCCATGATAAATGACTCAGGAAAAATTTGAAATAAAATTTAATGCTCCCATCCCGTAAAAAGAAAAAATCAATTAAAATAAATAAAAAATTAATTAAATTCTATTAACCAATTAGAAAAAATATTTAATCACGTCAACCAATGAAATAATAATATTCATATTAATATTAGACTAAAATTAAATTGATCATACAAAAATTACTAGACCAATTGGAGAGGATAATTAATATTATACCAAAGTATGTCGATTAATGGGAGAGAAGAGATTTGTAACTAATCACCTTCATCCTACAAGATTTAAATATTTAATTAATTAATTATTTAACTTAATGCTCTCATCCAGTGAAAAGATAAAAATTATTTAAAATAAATGAAATTATGCTAACCAATGAGAAAAAAAATTCAATCATATCAATCAATAAAATTGTAATATTAATATTAGACTAAAATTAAATTAATTTTACAAAAATTAATGGGCTAATGAGAGAGAATAATTAACATTATATTAAAATTATGTTGATCAATGAGAGAGAAGATAATTATAATCAATCACCTTTATTCTACAAAATTTATAGATATATATATTGATGACTAGTCAATTTCATCCAAACCATCACAATCACACAACATCAATCAACTAATCAATTTCTTACACGAACGTTTCGAATTCAGCCTTACATTTATGACAAATGAAGCTAACAAAACTCTTCATAATTCTTTGCATATATTTACAACCACAAATTCCATCATTTATATCAATAAAATTCATTTTCGAAATACGCTTCAGTTAATAAACAATTATATAATTTTTTTTAATTATATTAAAATTTTAAAATTTTTAAGAGGTCAAAAATTTATTCTTTAATATATACTTTTAAATTTGCTCTTCAAACCAATTATGGTGCAAGGATGATTAATTTATAATTAATCAAGTCTACAATTATTAATATTACTATATACACATTTCAAGCTCTCATTTTTCATTCATAAGATACCCAAATCGCATCTTTCTTACATTTAATACTTCTAGAGTCATTAATATCTCCCAATAATCCTCATAATTCACATTTAATACACATTTTTAGACATAAATATCCACCTACCATTATTAATGCATAAAACTCTCCATTAATGTTTTAATAACTCAAATAACTCCTATTAACTTTATTTAAATCAATGAATTCGAACCCAGAGCCTAGATATAGACTAAAAATCAACTCCACATTACAAACTATAGTTTCAAACTAGAGTAGAGAGGAAGGAGAAGGTTAGGAAAGGCTTACTTTAGTAGTTTTCAAATTTCTTCACAATGTCGTGCTCTAGTAGAGCATAACTCGTGCTCTCTGTTTTCCTTTCTTCTCTCTTCCATTTTTTTTGAGCTAACATAAGCCTTAATTTTACAAAAAATAGGTCGTGTGCCACAGTACACGTCACATGCACTGTGACATGTGGTATAAAGAAGACTGCTTCATGTTTTCTAGCCTCATGTGCCATGGCACATGGTGCACGT